GTCTTACTAATGGAGAGAGCTGTGGGGTGTGCAGCTCAGCTGATCAAGTTGAAGAGGAGCTGGGCTTGCAGGTGGAGCAGAGCATTGACTCTTCAAGTGTAGGGAGCAGGCTGGATGCCAGTTCTGAGGCAGCCTCTGCCCCAGCAGCTCCTACCAGCTTCTGCCCCCTGGCAGCAGATCTGGCTTCCCCTGTACCAGCACAGCCAGTCTGACCCAGCAAGGACATGGGAGCTGTACTCAAGCCCCGTGTCAGGAGCATGAGGATGAAGAGGAAAGGTTTGTCACCACTGGAGTAGCAACCAGGTGAAAGTAAAGGGTGTTCAAGCAAACAGAAATCCTATTTCTAATCTCCTGTGCCATTTTAATTAGCAGTAGCTAAAGCTTCGCTCAATGTAATATTCCCTTACTCTGTAGCTTGGCTTTCTTCTCAAAATTTGTGTGCTGGACCTGCACATCCTGGAGCCTGATAGCTCATTCTATCAAACCTTGCCTAGAGCAGTGGTTTTCAGCCTGTTTTCAATGTGCAGAATCCCAAATCACTTGAAAATGAACCTGTATTGCTATGTAACAAAGTTGATTTTAGTGACAGTAGCTTCCTTTCAGTAACTTCTGGCTTCTTAGTGCTTACACCTAGGTCCGTGTGTAATGGACCACAGCTCCCAAGGAATAGGATAAGTGACTTGATGTCTTGCCTCTGAGCATGCCATCTCTCTCCTTTGCTGCCAGCTGCTGTGAACATCACTGGAATCTAATTCGATGAACTGATTTTAAAAGTGATTGTACCATAATGCCTTTCTCTTTTTTCCTTTTCCCAAAGCAACTTGTAATTGTGATGATTGGAGAATCTCAGGGCAGGAATTTGACATTTTGGATTATACACTTAATTCCTTGAGCACTTTTTCCCTAAGAGGAGCAGCTGCCTGTTGTAGTTTTCCATTTATTAATTAAATCCTGAATGTGTGCACACACACACAAGCTAGTCTGCAAGATAAGGATCTGTACAAAGCTTTTCTTCTGCAGAAGGATTACTTGGCTTTCTCTTACCTGTTTAAATCTTAAATACTAGTCTCTTCCCTTTTTTATGATCCACACCAGATCTTTTTGTCCCCTTAATGCTAGCTCTGAGAGAGAAGGAATCCAAGGAAGCAGTGTTCAGATATAAATTAAAGTGATGGTTACAGACAAAGGATTTGTTAAAAAAAGATGAAGCTGCTGGCCCAGTCCAGAGGCCTGTTGCTGCCTGGCTCAGAGGGTGCCACTCGGAGTCCTCCCATAGCTAACGCTGCAGCGCATGGACGTCGGAGCAGGAAGCTTTCCTCTCTGCTGATGTTCAGCTTATGCCCCGCAGCATGTGCTTTAGTAGCATTTATACGTAGATTTGACCACTAATAACAAATATAGTTGTGTGTTGTAGCTGTTTAATACAAAGCCTCTTGTTTCTAATCAGTGCATGGAATTATAGTGCATGCTATGTGTGTTGTCCCCCCACCCCTTTTATTTACAGTGTACAGCCTCAGGTTTGTTTGCACCTCCACACTGTTTTTGATTTAAGAAAAAAAAATAATCTCCAAACGTTTCTAGTTGCTGATAGCCCGACTCCTCCCCCACCTCCACCCCCCGATGAGATGCCGATGTTTGATGACTCTCCTCCTCCTCCACCCCCACCTCCCGTGGATTATGAGGATGAGGAGGCTGCTGTTGTGCAGTACAGCGATCCCTATGCAGATGGAGATCCTGCTTGGGCACCTAAAAACTATATAGAGAAAGGTAAGAGAGGCGTTGCAGCTGCGTTAGTGCAGTATCAGAGGATTAATGGTAATGAATGAAGGACTTAATGTGGGTCTGATGAGAACAATCATTGTCCCTCCTAAGTCAGAACTCGATCCATGCTGTCCTTAGTTTGTTTGTGGCTACACGTAATGTTATAAGATACAATCCTTTTTTGGACAAATTATAAAATACCGTCAAGCATTCTGGGACAGATGAAAACCAAAAAGCTTCTTTATGAGATGCAGATGTAAATTGTATGTCTTTCATCTTTTCTGGACTGTGTCTTTAGCTACCTCAGAATTGCTAGGCAGTCATCTAGAAACTGTTGCAAAAAGGTCAGAAATTGAGCTGTATTTATTGCACTGAACTAGATAGCTAGAGCAGATCATTAGACTTCCAGCTATAAAATGTGTTGAGGAAATTTATCAGTGACTCCCCCATCAGCAAACTACAAACTAATGTAGTAAATGTCTCTTCCCATGAATAAGAGATGCTGATTTCCTGCCTAAGACATCAGATTTCTGAGAATATATATATAGGTGTAAAGTAGTAGATTCCTGGAATTCCTAAAGCTGATCAACTGCATAAACCCATGTTAACTGTTTTGAATGGTAAGACTATGATGTCTAACTCTATATATTCATAGTGGTAGTTTTTAACTCCACTATTGTTGGTGGCAAGACTTACTTTCCTTAAGGTGATCTCTGCTTCGTTAGTGGCACGCAGTGAGTTGGAGATTGGTAAGAGTATTCACCAAGCACGTACTGAAAAATAGCAGATGTTGCTGTAAATTTGCTTCTGCTTTCTCCTACAGTAACGTTTCTACTTGCACACATTGCAGCTTCTTGAAAATTGATGCCAGAACTTCCTATCATACAGAGGCTCTGTAGGAAAGACCATCCATTTGTTGGAGTAGCTTAACACAGTGATGTGTAGATCCCACACTGAATACAGTGTGTGTGTGTGTATATATATATATCTATATCTATATATCTATATATATCTATATCCAGGGGCCCTAGTGAAATTATTTAAAAAAAAATTTATTTTGAGGTAATCAGACCAGAAATGGCTGCCACACTTAAGGAGTCAGTTATTTCATACTTCAGCTTTAAGTGTCCATATGCACTGCTTTACTGTGTCGCAGTCAGATGTACCTCTCTGTCAGCAGCTTAACTGAGCGTTCAGTGTAGTCACCACCCACTTCTTATTGGTAGCTAGTGTTGGAAGGAAAGTAAAATTTCATTTTCTGGACTTAATGTTCAACAGGGAAAGCATGTGGATTCATTATGGAAAATCCCAGGATAGCAAACTAGTCTTTTAATATTTTTTGAAGTACAATTGTTTTTTAATACTGGTGCTATTAATAAAATGCTAAACGTGTCCCTTTCCAATCCACAGTTGTTGCTATATATGACTATACAAAGGACAAAGACGATGAGCTGTCATTTATGGAGGGTGCAATCATTTATGTGATAAAGAAGAACGATGACGGCTGGTATGAAGGAGTTTGCAATCGAGTAACTGGCTTGTTTCCTGGGAATTACGTTGAATCAATCATGCACTATGCCGATTAAAATCCTTTGCTTTTCAAAGTTTGGTCTTGTATTCAGTCATACCATGATTATTTACAAGGGGTAACTAAAAGCTAACAGGATTGTCTTAATATACTTTCAAAAAAATTGTGCCCATTTCTTCAGGCCATACTGTTTTAATGGTATGATTGAATGTCCATCTCTGAGTCTCTGGGGACAGTATGTCTTACCTGATGGCAATTTGTAAAACAAACAACTGTCTATAACTGGTTATACTTATTTACTTATGCATTGTTAATTTTATGACCAGCCTAAATATTATGGGGAAGTAGGGTATAATATTTAATGAACCATGATCAGATTGTGCCATTACATTTTTCAGTACAGCATGGTAACTAACACTACGTTAGACTAACATATTAAAATCTGGATGAGAAGTTTAATGTTAGTGCTGGTCATATTACTTTTTGTTTAGACTCTTTGCTCATTCTTGAACTATATTTGTTTAAAGCATGCATACAAACTTATGTATTGAAATATACTTTTTTAAAAATCCAAGATGCTTCCAATTGTTGTAATCTTTACCTGGAGTATTCTCACTAAAGTCTATTACAATGAGTTGTTTGGGTCTAAGGTGTCCATGTGAATCAAAAAATGGGTGGTCTTATGTATGTGTAATTTGTACCCAAGTTTTTTTAATGAGTAAATTTACATTATGACTTTTTCCATTCATAAATATATAAGTGAACCAAAGGTCTTGTCCATTACTTTGTTGGTTGGCTTGGCAAAGAAGGCTGGAATACTAAGGTAGCAAAATCATGGCTGTGTTATCCCAGGCAATGTACTGAAAAGCAAATGTTTGTAACATGAATTTATCACTGACAGAGGGAAAATAAATTAGATCTGAAACCCTGAATTACACACTTACACATACTCTTAAAGGTTCTTTTCTTCCAACATTTAATTATAGCAAGGATTCTTGATTTAATCTAGTTAGCTAGATGCAGTAAAACTTGGACACCATCTGTAACTTAAGAGTTCTCTGAGGAAACTCTGTGTGGCTTGGTGATGTGCCCTGCTGAGAAGAGACAGCGAGGTGTCCTCCAGAGAGCACCCAGGGGGAACACACACAACAGGAACTTGGCCATTGTGTTAAGACATCACAGGCAGAGATAGAGATTGTGTGCCTCCCTGTTCTACAAATTCTGTGGCTGAAATAACCTGAAAAGGAATGTGGTAGTACTGGATAATTACTGTGAGAGGAATGTGTCTGGGACTTCAAAGCAGGCTTCTAGAAGGGTACTGAATATACTCTATAAACTAGCGATGGAAGGGGATGGAGTTGCAGGTTTGACTGGCTGGTGAATCATTTAGTTTTAGTGTGAGTTAGAAATACTGAGCCTTTCATTATCTGAACTGCAGCAATCTCAAATTCTGCATCTTGTTAACTGCTAGCAAGTAGCCACCAATAGTGCACCTGTATTTCATTACAAACTGGAACTCACTGATGTATATAACCAATTAAAATCTACATATAGTCTTTTATAGTAAACTGGTGTCATATGTACAATTCCAGTTGCTTCTGTTGTTAAACAGCCAGGGAAGCATTCAAACCATCTCTCTTCACAGGAGTTTACCAGCCCCTGTGCATGCATGCTCTGTTTATTAGTGTAAACAAGTGAAATTTGGAACAGCTTCAGTTCTTATACACTGATTTATATTTATTCTCATTGTGGCCTTTGTGCATCGACATGTAAACATCTTCCCCATCCCCCACAATCACCAGCCCCCCACTAAAACAATTGTACAGCACAGTTTGATTTGCTCTGAATTGCATTGCTTCCTGCAGTAAAACACTTTAAACTTTTGTTTTAAAAAAAAAAAAAAAATTTAAAAAAATAATTTTTGGTAGCCTGTGTTGGAAGCAAATAACTTTTGAAATAAATGTAGGCACAGTCTGGTAAGTAGCTGCCAGGACGAGTGGAAGGAGTTGTCTCACTTGTCTCGCATGAGAACCATTTCTGTCAGGTGGACGAGGGCTTCCCTCTCGGGGGACGGCCGCAGTTTGCGGATCTCTCGCGTGGCCGCGTGGCAGTAGCGCTGGGCGAGGTAGGTTGTCTGCTGCACACCATCACTCTGAGGTGGAAAGACAGTGAGAGGAAATGGGTAAATGATCAGCCTCCCTCCTGCCTTTTGCCTCTCCCCCTGTACAGGGGTTTTAAGGTCAGTCAGTACCCTGAACGCTTAATTATACTGTGCAGGGGAAAGGAAGAGGATTCGTTCTGTATTCATGGAATCCTACATACCTTCCCCAAAGTGTCAAAATACTAAAACTCATCCATGCTAAATTTAAGTATACTTAAAAAACAGCACTGGTATTAATAATATATTAGAAACTAATGGTTTAACCCCTCCCCTCCTGCCCTAAGTAGGGATGTGCAAAAAAATGTGCTATTCTGGAAAAATAGGTATTAATTTTGCACAGACCATTATTCAGTCTTTTCAGACTAGCGTCAATTAAAACTCATGGGGTGTGCACTGCAGTTACAAGACTGACTGGTAATGATGTGCCACTTACACCAGTTGTTGGATACAGCTACTCCTCAGCTGAAGGAACTGAGTTCATGCATGAGCTTTTTACTTTTATTATGTGGATTTTATGCTATGGGAGGGAAAAAAAGAAAAAAAAGCTCTTCAGTACCTATCATTTCTTCTAAAACACTGTGCCAGTAAGACAGCTGAAGAGTTCTAACTTGGCACTGTACATTGCATGCTACTTAGCAGGTAAATGACAATGCAGCCCTGCTATTTTACTTCGGAGACAATGAATTTCAGACCAACTTCAGTAGGGAAAGCAGAAATATTTGGTATCAGTCTTACCTGCAACACATATTTCCAAGCACGTTCAACATCTCCTGGCCTACTGAATCTCCTCATTATCATAGCATTCATTTCTGGAAACTAAGCACAAAGGGAGAAGGTTTTTGTACTGCTTTTGTTTTCCATGTAGCTGCCTGCCACGCAAAGGTCAAAACAACACCAAAGTACAGACCTCTTCCCCTGCCACTCTTGTTATTATGGGTATAGCTTTAGGTTCATACTTGCAGTCTGCATAGGACTGTAGTACAGCACAGCCCAAGCATTTAAACTTAAACTGTCTGGCTCAGCTGGCTGTAGCCAGTTGGTAGCAAAAGGTAGCATCTGCCATTTCATCATGTTGAGCAGATAATCTACTGTGGTAATTTCTGATGTGGCTACTCCCTGGAGTATAATCTGCTTCAGGTATTTTTTTATCACAAATGATGCTTAGTGTTGGCACAGCTCAAAGAAGCACCTCTTTTCCCCCCATGTACAACAATGAACAAAAGAGGTTTGTTGTTTAGCTGTTATATCCACTTATAGTTTCTATTGTGCTGGTATTTTATATACACAGGCTCTGCCCTGTGGAAAGCTCAGGACTGATTTTTTTTTTTTTTAATAAGAAAGAAATGGCAACTATAAGGTATTTTGTTTTCAGTCACACAGCATTTGTAGTTAGCAGTCCATGCTCAATTCCCTACAAATCAAGTAGGTAACCCAAGTCAGTTGTGTGAGAAAATCGCATTACTTATCTAAACATGCAGGCTCTTTCTTCAGATAGCCTAGAAACAGAAAAACCTGGTGCTTACTAAAAGTAAGGTCACAATTCAAGGCACCTACTCTGCAGAAAAATTCTTTTTAAAGGAAAGAGGTCTTGGTTCATCTTGTTTGAAAGGATTAGAGTCAAAGAAAGATGATTTTATTGCCGTACACTTGTAAACAACGATCCACTTTCCTAGCACACCTTTGGTCCTGAAACTGCAGCTCCACAACCTTGTTCGGGTAGAAACGCAGCATCCCTAAATGTTGTTACATTTCCTTACTACTCATATGAAGTCTTCTTGGAGATGCATTTAGAAGTTTATTGGTGACTCATACACATATACGGGATCACTTTTTATATTTAAGCACTAAAGGATAAGAAAATCCCCAAACCTATAAGGCAAAGCTGTTATTAGCCACTCTGCAGATTTAGCAGACAGTGTATAAGCACTGGACAGGAATGCTTATAATAAAAATAAACCCTCATTCTTCAGCTGTACTAGTTTAAGAAGGGCTTTAGAATTAGCATATACTAGTGTATTTCATTAAGAAATAAATGGGGTGGGGTTTTTTTAACCGAGTGAACTAACTTTAAATACTGAATAAATAGGTATCACATCAAGCTAAACATTTTTATTTTCTGTAAAGGCCTCTCCTTAATACTCTAATG